GTTTCTGCTCCATACCACCTGTGGTTGGCGAATATCGACTTTGGTTGCCCTGCCAACCCCCAACCAGCTGAGAGAATCAAGTTTGACGGATTTGTAAACTAACCCACCTCTTTTACTTGCAACTCTATGCCCAAATTCTACATTGACTATTTCATTCTCCCACAACATATGGGGAATGCTGTGAGGGAAATTCCAGTCGAACACCTGTAACCTTCTCATATTCTCCACCTCTGGTAGCCACTTTTGGTTGAGGTTACTATTCATTACACAATACATATGGTTTGTAAATTGGAATTTAGGCCTGTTCTCAGTTAGTGAGCTGCATATTTTGTGATTCATACACAAAATCCAGTGCATATAATCACTGCAAGCAGATTTCAGAACGTGGAGAAGGAAGTTAAAATCAACTGGAGAATGTCATAAGCATTATACCAGTATCTGGTATACATGTGATTTCTGGAAGCACACTGGCACGTTATCGTCCCATTGAGAGGATGAGATTACTGCTGTGAATTCTGTGTGATACTAAGTATTGACCTAATATGTAACTGGATGTGCAGTTGTGATCACACATTTCAGTCTTGTGTTTCAGTGAAAACTGACTCAATATGGTAGTGGATATACTGTGTAGAGAATTTGTTGTCGGTTTTTGACACGCACAAGTTGTGAGGTGTATAGTTCTGTATTCCCTGCTTAGATTGGACTTCTTTCTTTCTGACTATTTATCGACTGTCAAACATCATATCTGAGGCATATCTGAGGACAATTTTCTAAAACTACCCTTCTCAACAAATGTTTAACTGTGACAGTGAAGCTAAATGTATACACACATATGCTGCATACCCGTTTATCCGGGATAACTGGCCTACGAAGTTAACGTGTTACAGCTATAGTTGATTGATTGGTTCCGAGACGATAGCTGACTTCATGTTGTCTAGTTGCAAGTACTGGACAAATTGCATTGAATGTTTTGTAAAGCAGTCACCAAGGTGGGAGGCTGACGATCGCACTGCCCTTTCATGAATGTTAGTTGGTTGGAGGCATTTGGTAGGAAAGTGTAGAACCAGGTATAATGCTTGTTGACACTCGTCAGCATGGATTATCTGCAACCTCGAGGGAACTGATTCCACTGTAGTGATCAGTACTCTTGTCATTTAGTGTTGTAATCGCAGACGCCACCATAGAGTTTTTTAGACCAGGATTGGCTTTCTGTAGGGTTAGGTAGGTAGTATTGATTGGTCAAACTACAGTAACCGGTTTCATGTTACTTAGCTCTGAGAACTGACCGTTTTCTGCAATAATTCAAGCAAGTATAATCAGTCAGTTCACAAGGAGATATACAATCAGAGTCAGAAGAAGTGAAATATATTTACAATTAATTTTGATTGACTCATTGATAATTGTTATCTTGTCCTCGAATTTCGTCTTCTCACTTGGTGTCTTTTCAGTTTCTCCTCGATCAACTCTTGACTATATTTTATAGGATTACCAGTGATAAGCATATACGTGGTCAGATTGTTCAATTTGTTGCACAGGTACATTAAACAATTCAGAGATATAACATGATCTGGTTGTTTTGTCGAAACAGCATGTGAGATGCTAGCCAAATATACATCTTATTTAAGATTTTAAGGGGGTGCTGAATGAATGAGAGGTGGCTGGTAATGCCATCCATGATAAATCAAGAATATCTTAGTAACAACTAATTCGCCTTGTGTACTCATCTCTAAACTGCATCTGCTAATGAGCTCTGATCTTACTTATCAGCTGTGCAATTTGGTGTAGTTGGAGTAAGTTTGAATTATTGGCTTACTGATCGATTGCTTGAATCAATGAAGGATAAGGATATATGCCAAAAGCATAATGAATATTTGACTTAATGGTTGATAGTTACTTATAATGCGAATTACCTACCCATTCATTTTTATTAAGTGAGCATATTTTTTGAGTCACACCCATATTAGTTTATAAATTTGAATCATTTGTCTTCTGTATTACTGTCCCCCCTGTAAGATGATTTGAAGACAGTTTCTATGACGACATGATACAGATTAAGAGACATTTGAAAAACATAGAAGACTCAGTTTACGATTCCTCAATGGGGATAGACCATGACATCATGCTAAACCTACTCTGGGGTATTCATATCTCATCATTAGTGCCTTACCATTCATTCAATTGATTGTAATACAAATATCCACATTTCAAAACTTTCGAAAATTTGTAGCGTGATGTGATCAACATGCAATGTCATCCACAGACATGCCACCATACTTTCAGTTATCTTAACTCCATAGACCATGATCTTTCCTTGGAACTTTAAGAAGTTCATGTCTCAATAAGTCAATTTATTGTCAAGTTCTGTAGATGCACTGGAGCATAAACCAAAGACTTGATCAATCAGAGGATATTACTGAATTTATGGTCGATACTCACATTTTTGTAACTACCAACCTTTCGTTAAATATTATGATGAAGAATTTTGATGGTGTTGTGTTCTCTGAGCTGGATGGCTTGATCGTGAAGCTTTCGTTGTCATTCTAGACAACCTCATCGGCACAAACTTCAAAAATGAATGATCTACAGGGTTTACTCCACAAGTGACTTGGTAGCTTATCCGGATAGCCTCGTGTGAGTGAGTGATTGTTTCTGCCAAGGTTTTGCCATTGTCTCCATATTTATTTGGAGTGATTGTCCTGCTGACATGAAATTTTACACACCTGTCGTTTCTAGTTGGTTGGTAGTTTGGGTCTATGTCAGTGAGTTTGTTGACTGCTGACTGATCTGAATTCGAAGCTTCTGAAAATACTCTAGCACTCTGTGTACTCCCTCTATTCAGATTTCCCACATTTTCCAGTCAAATTCATACCCACAGTTGTCTGTATGCATTGATGTGAGCGAAGACAGGTCATGACACTTCAGTGGTAGTAGATGATCATGTGAGCGGATACGAAGAGGGCGATCACTTAGTCCGATATAATGCTTCTCATATATTGTGCAATTTATTTTGTGGAGAGCGTTTGGTTTGTCTTCCAATTCTGTTTCATCTTTTAGCGTGCATAACACAGAATGAAGAGATTCTGTGAGCTTGTGAGCTACAGCCATTCCGAAAGGCTTCTATAATCCAGTGATAATCTAATAGAAATTCTTCTTCCATTTCTTGATTTTTGAGGTTGACTTCCTGGTTGACGACGAATTAAGTATAAAATTTTTGATGAAGTTGTGTGAATAGCTGTTGTTCTGGAAAACGGTCATTTATTAATTGTCTTCTCTTCTCTACAAGGTAGATGTACTGCAGTGTGTCTTAGCTCTTTCGGACAATTTTACTCTGCAACGAATTTTGTGTGCTCTTGAGTTGTTGCTACAGTAGTTGACGACTTGATCCATATCAGTTGGTTTTCTGCATACTTCAGTTTCCAATTTTCCCGAATCCCTTCTAGTGATCAGAACATCCAAAAATGTGTGTTTGTTATTTGATTCCCGATCAGTTGTGTAATTGATGTTGTCCGAAGTGTTGTTGATTGATTTGTAACTATCTGATGCAGATTTCTCCTATTCGATGATAGTCTGTCATAAGCTAACTTTCGTATGACATTTGAAACAGTCCCTTATCCCTATCCTTCTCTTTCTTATACTTGTTAATAACCTCCTAGAAATGCACCTTCTTAGTTAGCATATCATACATATCTTTACCTCAAAATTCGCCAATGTTATTCCATGGTCTCTCTCTCACGCGTGCGTGCAAACTCACTCACTCACTCACTCACTCACCCAACCACTCACTCAATCACTCAACCACTCTCTCTGGAGAAAGATTCGTTACTCAATCAAGTATCGCTGCACTCGAACGCAATACATCTCTCGAAGTGCAGAGACTGTCCCATTGATGGTCACTTCACATATACAGAACTTCCTACAGACTAATCAGTCTATTCGAAAGAAAAGAGATGTCTGGAAATCGAATGCTGTCATTCCCAGCTTCCTCTGAAGTGAACTCACGAAATCCATATCCTGACATAAATTTCTATGTCACTACATTCAAGTGAAAACACCTATTGTTTGTCATCGTCATCGCCTTCTCCTTGTTCCCCTTCTTGTATAAATGACTGGAATTTGTCGATTCAGTTACTGGTAAACACAGCGTCACAGTGTCAACTTGAAAACTACAAGTCAATGAAGCACAATATAAATTAGCCTTCGTTAGAAGTGGCACGACCAATTGGACGGGAAACATAACCCTCTGAATTGAAACTAAATAATCCTAGTAGACGGATGTAACAGTCGTCTTGGGTATTCCACGAAAATCGGACCTTCTTCGCTCCTGTGCATATTAACTCGAGACAATGACTTCGATCACTACTGGATTTGGGTTGACCGGAAAAGTGTTGTACCATGAAGTACAACGATAATAAGGATTTCGTTTAAATCAATGACATTTCGAACAACCAGGAATGAGTCTTAGGATATTGCCTCGTGTAGACAGTCATGTATTCAATATAATTCCTACAGCACTTGATGTTGTGGAGGATTGAAACGTGGAAGGTGTAGTTCTTAACGCCTTCATTAGTTTATGCATTGTATTTTCTCTCAAATACACAAATATGAATGGGCGCCGTTACTTAGATTTCATAGTATGATGTTACCAACATCACTTGTGCAACTTCAATCACCCAACTCATTTCAACAATACGTTTCATGTCAGTCGTATTGATGTGAGTCGTGTATTACTTGAGATGGTCTAATGTGGGAGTTGGAGGCTATGCCTGGTGGGATTCGATCAATCTCCCTCAACTATATCAGCAGTGATCAGCTTTGTGTTTGCTCATATATTCAGCATACGATTTTCGAGAAGTTGAACACACCTACACCTGTGCACGCACGTTGACATGACTGCCATGCATGAATAATTATTTGTCGTCTAACCAAATTATATTCACCTAGGTGGTCAGTGTTCACATAGGTCTCTTAACAGGGATGTCAAATTAATTAATTAGAGCAGGATTTTGTCACGTATGTTGTGCATCGTACAGTTGTGGCCTATCTCGCATGCACATGAAAGAGCATGTGATCAAAGTAAGATATATATTTCGATAAAATCTCACTATCTATACAAGGGTGTATGTGTGTCTGCATGTCTTTGATACTCACAGTAATTGTGAACAGTTCGTTAATGAAGCGATGTAAACTGACTTGCTATCTAGTTCCTTTGGTAACCACTCCTCCATTTCCCTCATCATTTCCTTCTAGAATATAAGAAGCTGCAGCTGAGATTCTTTCGTAGGCGAATTCCACGTCATCCATCGTGGTTCCATGTATGCAGACAAATCGAAGGAATACAATCTCAGTGCTAACAGCTTCGACCGCTTCATCACCTTCTTCCCCACTGATCTCGGTGGAGCCCAACACCAAGAAGATGTCACCCTTCTTCATCAATTCATCATGTAAGGCCACAGTGAGAGAATTATCATTCTGTAATGGAAAGAAGAGAAGGCGATAATGCACATTACAACCAACATCGAATTACTCACTGGTTGCATTTCTCATGCAAATCTCACAATTTCGCTGGCATTATGTGTTGATGAGTATTGTGACTCACCTTTAACTGGAAACACACTAAGCCGAATTGCACATCATTGGTTATGTGGAAACGACCATCTTCTGTCAACAGTCTCTCGAAATGCTTGGCCAATTCGACATGCTTGTCAGGTTTGCATACATGAAATGAGAAGAAAAACAACAAGCTTATGCATATGCATAACCACGCACATGAAACACGCGACTGACTGGGTGTTAACAACTGGCATCAACAGAAAGGATAGACATTCGATTGTTCAGTCTGAATCAGTGAAATGTGAAGCATATCTCTCTTGAATTTATTTATTCAAATGCCAGTGAAGAATACACTGACTTCAACAATCTCTTACTAACTGGATGTGACTTTCATTCATTATTCCCTGTTACACCATGTGAAAGTGATTAACCAGGAGTGACCTATGCTTGATAAGAATGTGGGTGGATAACAAGCCCAGTGGATCGATCACAACCACCAATTACTCAACTGCACATCATGACAACACTCTGCTGAGGGTTCAGACAGACTATCACCCTCGGAAACTGATCCGAAATCACAGACCACATCGAATGTCGAAACATGTCAGACGAATAACAACGGAAAGCCAGACTGAGTGCATACAACGAAGAAGTTATCTCCACATCACATCCACACCTGTTTGGCTATGGATTCAAGCCCATCTCTGTCTCTCAAGAGGCTCTTCATTCCTACCGAAGGCATTCAGTTCTTGAGGAGTGAGTATCTCACTGCCGCCTGTCAAACGAAATCCAGTTCACTACACATGCCTAAAAATGACTAGTCAACTTCACCTCGTCTACACCCATGATGACAATGACAAGTAACCTGATGCATCACTGTCTGACTCCGCGAAAACAAGTCTGATGACTGAAGGTGAAGCAAACAGAAAACGGCCATAAATCGGGTGGCAGTTGAAGCTGTCAAGTCAGGAGTGCTATTCAATGTGGAAGTAAACTGTCACATTTCACACGTATCTGGCACTGACTCTGATCAGTGGAATAGGCTTTGTGCTTCCACTGAATATGGTCAGCACAAAGCCAACCATTGAGACACCTATTCACACAATGTCATGTCTACTGAAGTAGATAGATCATGTTGAAGCCAGTGTTGATTTTCATGTCGAGAAGAGTGCAACGAAATCTGTCAGACGGCAATGCAACTCAGATTCATGAGCAAACTGGAAGCGCGATTATGTGTGTACTGCAATCTCCTTATCATCATCATCATCATCTTTCTGAGGCATACTTTGGTACAAAATTCATAGAAGTGTGGTGTTATCAAAGTATGCCTCTACGTCGTGAACACTCAGTCACATACGCATACATACAGTATTTATCTTCCTAAGTGTAGTGGTGTGAGTGGAATTATCCGGCCTCACAAAATCGTACAAAGCAACAAAATCAAGTCCATGAGGTAGAGATCATCAACGATCTGCATTTTTCCATCATATACTCTATCAGATTGTCGCTTCATCTAGACAATGATCGAGGTGCCGTCTCACATGGAGCGTGGAGCGACGATACCCTACAGTTTTTGAGATCTAAGTAATACAAGTGACATGATCTACCAGTTGAATCACAGGGACGTCTACAAACTCACTGAGGCACATCATCATGTTTTCAGTGTGAGTCAGCGAAGCCGCACATTGGTACAAGTAAATGTTTACAGGAAGAATGAAAATCTCACCAACTCAAGCGTCACTTACATGTCGTGTCATTTCGCGTAAACCACTCAATCCATACGTACGTAGGACGAACCACAGTTTCAGTGATCTGAAGCCTCTGGCCAGTGACAAACTCCATTTCTGAAACCAAGCGAAGATGAATATTTACACTGTGCCACTGTCACAAAAATTGTAGTGATCAGGTATTGAGTAGTTTTGCAGTCAATCGTATGGAAGTGATGCATACCATGATGCTGATCCGCCATGAGATGCACACACTGGACTTGACGACATCAGTGAGTTGTGGAAGTTGATTTCCGAGAGATATTCGCTCCGCATTGTCCTCCTCATGAATCACGTGAGAAGTTGTGCTGGATTTAGTGCAGTCTCATGCAGAAGATCAGAGTCTGTCATGATTGTTTTATGAGCACATCTGAGCACATTTGGAAGCCCTATTCACAGGTAAACGAGCATTCTCACGAAGATCTCACCCACGATACTGATGTGACACTTACAATTCCCCTCTAACACTTCCCGTGATTATACATTTGACTAAGGCAAGCGAATTGTGAGACATGCTTCGTTATTTCATCATGACTACCCACTGACACTGAGGTGTAAGTTAGAATGGATATTTGATTGTGAATGATGACAAACGAACACTTGACGCTTATATCACTAATGGGACCAGCAAATATTCTCCGATGAGCATAAATAAGATTCAACTAGGTGATGGAGACAGTTGCGATGATTGAACATCTCACTGAGGTACTATGTGTGATGGAAATTACGACCAATTTTGCATGGCATTTTCCACAACACTACCTCCAAATATTCAGCATCTTATACACTATGTCAAGCTAAAATCCTTCGTCAAGGACATGGAATAAACTGCCACACTGCTTTTACTTCCCCTCCATAACTGAAACTGACACAGGTTGTTCCCCAGTACCAGAGATCTGATGTCATCATCCTTGTCCATTTCGAGACGACGTTCTTCATATCATTGATGATCACTGTCATAGGAAACAACTGTGTTGTTGTCATCTTCATAGTCGTCTCGAACCTCATGATATCACTGTGCAATTTGGAGTGTTAGGACACAAAGTGCTAATCATAGTTCACCAGTAACTCAAAATGTAGTCAGTGTAGACTCACGCGATAATCAGGCATTCCTCCATATGCATGATGCAAGTAAAGCGGATTGGCTTCGAACGCCTCAGTCAGCACTCGGTGATCACTGAGCCACAGAGGTGAGGAGTCCACATTCACCATCATCATTTTATGCGCATTAATGTTGACAGAATCGGCTAGCTGAAATTCAAAGAAGTCAGAGTGAGCACTGAATACACATGTAAAACACTGACTGCTCTACCTGACATCCACCTGACTTACACATGAACACCTATTTATGCACTTGTCTACCCCTACACTCAATCATCCACACAACCTCCAGTGAATGGGGACACGAGTTGTCCACCATCACTGACAACCAATGCATACAACACATTTGGAATATCAACGCCCTACAGGAAGTCGATGCAACAGTTAGCAAGCTTTGACAACTCACCTCGATCCCTCTGCTCAGATGGCGAAGTTCAGGACAGAGTAGTGCGATCCCACCGTAGGCTGCATCCACATGAAACCAAATGCCGTAGTCATTACCTAGTGTTGGTTAAAATGTGAGGAAAGTAGCATTTCATTAGAAGATAACAGTGCTGCTTGCACATTCTTACATCAATGATTGATAAAAGCAATTTTATGCACAGTCGAACCTTTGAACTGTGAGCCACAAAATGCATGTTCCCACAACAGCGTGTTTGACATGCAAGAATAGTATCTTGAATACTGAGTACTGATTTACATTGGATTGGCGTTAACGGAAATCCCAGATCACCGGACAAGCGTCACCACACAACACCCTCAACAGCTTCCCTGTATGCGTTACCCATATCTCAAGAGATCTGTTAGGCCGATGCAAACTGATACATGTCGATGGAATCTGGGAAGTAGACAATTGAGCAAGCCCTTAACGGTAAGGTATCCACCGTGATCTCGAACAAACTATGAGAAATGGAATTCATACATTTCAGCACTTCTTTGCAACTATATCTATGCTTCGATGGTGTGAATATTAAGTGATTGATGACTCCATTCTAATGAGTTCCAAGGAGAACAATTCTATTCAGCATCACGTAATGCGGCGTCAACCGGTCAAATCGATGCCTCTAACGACAGTCACCAACCTCCACCATCATGCTGGCATACAGATGTGGATAAATATCGACAGTTACTGGATTCTAGTCGACAGCATTAAATTCCGTGCATCTCAGGAATTGCACTGCCAAGCAGTTCAGCTTTGATAAGAAGACTCCTTGTATACACAGTCCTATATCTTGTTGCTACAACTTCGTCTGTCGTACACGTTGGACAAAAGGGTGAAGTGTTTTCAGAGGAATCCAGAAGGTTTATGCGTTACATGATGTCAACTTCAGTTTGCATGTTTGTATACGGTAGGAGGCTGATGTGTCCACCACATGTTATGCCGACTATTCACTGTTTAAGGTTGATAGGTATTTCATTCAGTGATTGGAACAACCAATCAGACCTACAACAACACCAACACCAGCATGTCTCTCAGTCAACACACACGCTTCGATGATGTAGTCATTAAAAACGAGATGAACAATACAGGATAGATATGTGATTGAGAGAGGAATAAAGAGAAAAATTGTTGAGGATTACTTACAGACTTGTCCTATTCCCTGTAGGTCTTCGAATTCACATGTCGATGTTGTACCCATCGTTGCAACACACTGTCAAAATGAACACGTGAAAATCTGTAGTCCATCAAGAATGCAGTATTCAGTGAACTAGGAAATTCACACCATTGCAATGCAGTTTCAGCTGAACAAGCAGGCGTGTGGTTGAGTCAATGAAAACAGTGACAACACAAGTCATGAGGCATGCTGCAGTCATGACGTTGATGGCAACCTGGTTGGTCACTCACTGACTGATGCACTGTTTATTAGCATGTGGATATGCCAGATTTCCGCTCAAATTTGTCGAACTGCTCACGAACACGTGAGTGGCAGGGGGTGGTAATGGCACCGACCGATGCGAAAGTGAACACACAATTCAGATATTGTTTATTTATAGTCAGAGTTGCTTAGTAGCATATTCCCTCTCAACTAGCTATCTGAGTCAAACAGATTCACCAGTGATTGATTCACCACTGATTGGATGAACCATTTGCACCGTATGCATGGTGTGTATGGATTCAAGCCGGAAGTCGTTTTGTAAGGAATACAAGTGATCTGGGTATCTATCCTACGTCACCTGATTTCTATGTCTGTGTTTTGTTCCAACCCAAGATCTATTCAATACATTTGTCTTCATTAAATATTGACTGGAGACCAATTGTAGGCTTCATCTCACCATACTACTTGTGATTTGATACTGCTATTGTGGTGTGTGATCGTGTAGTATTACAAAGCAGAAGCCGCCCTACCATTCAGCGTTTCTTGACAAGACCATTCAGGTGGGCTGTTGATTCAGAAAACAGGGAAGTGTGGATATCAGCTGTGAAGTACTTCTTCACATTTAGTGCTCAACCAATAATATCGACCATGAATCCAGTGGAGTCAGTCGGTGGTTTTCAACACCTCACTATAGTATCGTTGACTCGACACACAAACTCATCGTAGTCAGCCTGATTTCTGTACTTGAGTAATATGAGTGGATTAGTGTTGCAGAGTTCCGACCACACTAGTCATCAACAAACCTGAGAGGTGCGCCTGCACAATGTTAGCAAAGAACAGTCGTCATGAAAACTTACCATCAGAGGAATGAATCCCTTCTCCAGATCCTTTTCAATAGCTCGACGAAGATCGACGGGATCGAAAACAAGACGTCTGCCACATCGTTTCGACTTGATTATCCGACTGTTGACCATAGCTATTCGAAATGCTCGACTCACTGAACTGTGTGCCTTGGAAGAGTGAACAGTGATGGTTAGACAAAGGATACTTTGAGTAGGGGTGGGTTGTACATGATACAGATCGTTTTGTAAATGGGCATTTGATGACACGAATCGTGATTCTCTCAACAACTAATTGTGTACTCAACATCAACCTGTCGCAAGAAAACACTGTTCTCGTTCAACAAATACCCAAGTTGTTCTCATTGAATAACGACTACTTCTGGCATCTCTGTGGTCCAGTATCTGTTTCTGCGCACTTGAGATGCCTAGTCATCGGTACAAACACAGTATTGTTCCTGGTGTGCCCACCTTTCCTCCTAACACCAATGCCAACTATGAGTGATTCAGTGTATGAACAGGGACAAACTAAAGTTGTCACCATTTTCTCCGTACAGGCGACTGGTCATATTCCAAAAGACACTCATCTCAAAAAATTGTGAAGCTTTATCGATTGGTAAAAGTGCACAGCTACACATCAACTCTGAACACTCTACATCTTTCCGATCGAGATAAACTTTGGCTCGACGGGAAAGTGAAAATATGATGAGAGTACTTGACCACAAATTGATCGTTGATTGGTGCATCACACAGCTGAAATTTGCCAGAGGACCGTTTGTCTTCTGTTCAATACAACCAGTGAGTGACGAAACCGAAACCGCATGCGCTGAATATTTTCACTAGTCATATACTACTACTAGTACTACTAATTCTACTACTTCTACTACTATTACTACTTCTGCCACCACAAATACAACAACTACTACTGCTACTAATGATACTACTAATAATTTTGCCACCATAAATACTACTACCACTAATACAACAATAACAACAACAACACTACTACTACTACTACTAATACTACTACTACTACTAATACTACTACTACTACTACTGCTAATACTACTACTTATTCTCCTACTGCTATTATTACTAATTCTGCCACCACATATACTACTACTAATACTACTACTACTTCTGCCAACATAAATACTACTACCACTAATACAACCACTACTACTACTAATACTACTTCTGCCACCACAAATAGTACTACCACAAATACTACTACTACTACTAACACAAATACTACTACTACTACTAACACAAATACTACTACTACTTCTGCCACCACAAATACTACTACTACTACTACTGCTACGACCACTTCTACTACTACTTCTACAGGTGAATGCTCTGAGTAAAGTTCAGCATCTCGACGGCGTTTCACTCTCCGCTCAGTCACAAAAACTGTCATATCCACCAGTATATCTATCTACTACTAGGTTTCTGAATTTGTCAGAATCAGTAGATGGGGACAGCAAAGTGACCAGTGAAATTCACAATGATGCTGAGTCATCCTCAGCAACGTTGCCACACATAAAACTTAGTCTTGATTGACATGTGCAATCAAATGGATAAAGTGAACGCTAGTGGTGTTTCCGGTGTCATTGTGTGTTGTAGCCAGTTGTACAGACATCCCATAAAAATGTGTTCCCAGCTTCTCGATTTTAGTCCCGTTATCACAGACGTGAACGCTGTTCTTCACTCACTGTCGAGACATATCAGCTGTTAATGACTTCACACCAATCTCTGAGTATCCTACACTCCTACGCGGAACCAGCTCAAATATATGAGGTTTAATTTCCTCTGGAATTAGCTGCTCACTCATCCCACTCTTTTGTGACTGTGTCTAACTGCGAAAATGTATGCAGCTAGTTCCAAGTGTATCTACTGTGTAAAGATAAGCCGATTGAACTCACTGTATATCAAGCCTCAAGTTGTGGATGACTGACTTACTTGGTCCGATGTGTAAGCAACCATTCGATCAACCAAAGAACCCGGTCCATTCCCCTTCAGATGATCATCTTCGCTCAGTGAATGTGGATCCTTGATGTAATTTCTCAGCATCCTGTCACGCAAACCCATTGTTAGTGTTGCACACGCCATGCTTGCTGACAGCTGAACAAGATTGAGTAAAATGAACAATGCATAAAACACATCATTCAACCAGACTGTACAACAAAAACGATAATTCCCCACCACTTGTAATTTCAACCAGTCAGAGTTGTTTTCATCTACTTCCTCCGAAATATAACACCATCTCCTGTTCAACCTACTCCCTCATCAACTCCGTATCTTTTCAGCGCGTAGGACACCACTCTGCATGTTCCACTGCTGGTCGGTCCGATTCAGAGCATTATCACTGACACAGAATATATCTAGTCTGTGATATGGGATACGGAATCCTCTGTCATTCGCTCTGTAATTTGGAAAGATGGAATCCGTTAGACACCGAATAGTGTCCACTGGCTTATCTCTTATCCGACATTCAATCATCAGAGATGTCAGAGTTAATTAACCAGTTGGGAGGTAAATATCAATGAGTCATTCTAACTTCACAGAAGAGCGACTCTACTTTTCGTTGTTCACTCTAGACATGCAAACTACACATTCTGTTGTGTGTATCAGTACCTAAGTAGGATGGGATAATGAACTCACCTCTATTACTCCACCGCCTGTATGTGAAGGATCACGTTTCCCAGTAGCTGACAGGAACTTCTCTGGTAGTTTCAACGCATGCACTAGCCAATCCAGTGTAATCACTTCCAATTCTGTGCACGCTGGACAAGCCAACTGTTCAGAAACAATAGAGATTTCAATTTCATAAGGATATTTATATCCATGTATACACAAGTTAAATAAGTTTCAGATGGAATAACTATTTTCAAACATGGTGCAATGCTTCAAGGAAATGGATGCCACCAACACTCGAACTTCTGGTATTCTGCTAGGCCAACTGCGAAACACATTCTAATTTCATATGTGCTGTGCTCAGTGATTCAGTCAGATAGCGGTTGCCCGAATGCGAATGTAATTATGCTTGTCAGTAGTAATTCCATCTTACAATCTTGCAAGACCAGCTTAATTTGGTTAGGGTTGTTATTAAATTACAACTATCAGAGAGGTGCTGTCAGCATTCCAGTTACTATATCTGTCAGTGCAAGGTTGGGAGAGACGATTCGTGGGCTTAAACATTCTCCCAGTGATTTAAACGAGAAAAAGGCTTCTGACTTCCTGACTCGAAAGGGACTTTGCACAAACTGAAAATCAAGCAACACGAAAGGGATAAAATCTCTGTTCATTATTTCATCTTATTTCTCTCATTCTGGTGCACAAGCATTTCCAGCTCATCACAAACATCCAAATTCTTCTTCAATGGAAATCTTATCTGTTTGTTGGTGAACAATATATTTCCTTGATAGGGTTTCTGTAGTCTAATCGTAATTTGGGGAGAAACCCTCCAGCAAACCAAAGTTGCTGTTTGCTCGGTTTGAGACCAGTTGTAGAGTCACTCATCACCTGGGCGTACCTAAGTCCAAACGAGTGGTGTTGTTCCCATTGAGAATATAACACAGCACCAATGGCTTCTATCAGCTGAACATTATCAACCAGACTACTGAGTCACGATAGCTGTTTCACTTTCACTCACCTCACCTGGAATAACTGCACTCAATAGAAATATGGCAAAAACGGGAACGTCATCGTGTGGCGTTATTTTCCAGCTACCCTCCATTCAATCTCAGGCTACATCCGAATCCTGTCGACTCAAATGACAAGACAGAAGATATATGAAGCCTAAGATATCGGCAGTTTGATGTGCACAAAACACCATGTGATGTGCACGTGGTGACTTTTCTTCTAAGCTTACAACGCCCATGTGAAAAGGCGACAGTGTGTACTCCACACATCATTTTTCTAACAAGCTGATGGACATCTTGCTGATAGCTATTTGGATCACACTATTCATCACACCAGTACTTCATCCATTCATTTCGATTCGTCCTCCGATATGAACATGCAAAGAACCGATGAATTCTTGTCGAAGTAAAAGCATCACATGTGAACTTACCCATGTGAATCCTACACATCCAATAGCTGCAGCTAACAGGTCTCCGAGCATTGTTGGATAGGATGTGCAAGTTGGATAGAACGCATGGAAATCTGGATGTTGCCAATGAGTCACCTGGTGGAAATCAACAGAACAACAGACAAACATCAATCAATAGTAGTGTGTGTTTTCTTGTAGGCATCACACGTCTTCTCATGACTGGACGAAGTAATGACTTCTACTAGTTGCTTCACTGAGTCTGGCAGCTAGCCATACAATGAGATAAGCAAGTTAAAGTAAACATAAGCGGGTGTGGGATCCCACTCAAGGACTAGGATCTCATAACAGACTACTGTGAGTAACAATGAAACATGAGTGAGTTTTATGTCTTGAATCTAACGGAAGATAATTATCACTATCGCCTTTGCTGTTTCATGTGAATGCGTGGAGTGGGTTTCAAATATGGCAACACAATGTTTGGAAGTGGGAAGACTTCGACTGAGGTATGAACTGTCGTAGATTTCCACCTGTAAGGCAGATTGTGTGTACTCATGCCTCATTACAAGACCTCATTTAAAGTCGAAGAAATTAAAGAATTACACGAAAATAAGTTATCTTGAGAAACTGAATTTCGTGTCCCAATTTCGAGATTATTTCTAAGCATTGAGGTCTACGCTGCATATATAAGTTTAGTGCAATAGAAGGGTTAGATAAATGTCTGAAATTGACTCACTCCAGGTATGATTTTTTGCCTTATATCTTGAAGTATTTCGTCAAACTGCTCTTTGTTTTCCGGTGCTCTGTTGGGCAGTAGCCTTTGCAGATAACCAGGTTTAATCTTCTCCAGATCAGGAAGTACAGAGAATTTCCGTTTGTTTGCACCGTTTCGATACTCAATAATATATTGAACAAGTTTTCCAGATGCCGTTTCGAAATCCTTTGAATCCATCCTTATTAGATGATCAGTGATGCGCGAGATCTGAAAATGAGCAAATTGTTGGGACTGACCATTGAAATTCTAAGCAAAACAGTTTATCGTATTCATTGGGATTACTGTATGCATTTCAATGAACAATGCTCTTAGTCCTCTCCACATTTTTAGCGTCCAGTTTTAAACGGCAGGTGAGACGCCACTACAAATGGATGCACCAGTCTATGTCAATCGAGATGGAAACTAGTCAAGGAAAACAGTTGATGCAAGATAATGGCTTACGAGCCAGACCAATTCAACTATTTCATCGACTGACTGTACAAGTTTGAACCCACTCAGAGTGAATGAGGATATTGCCGGCTGTGTATCAGTGCGATGGTGAGAACATATAAGTAAGTACTCAAATCTCATTCTCTTCCATGAAAATCCTCTTGGACAGCATACCCTAGCATGCGTTGATGTAGGAATGATATTCTTCTCAGCCTCCCTGACTTTCTACAATACCGTTTCAGGATATCTGTATATCACGGAGAAATAAGAATTGGTGCTGTAAAGCCGAATATATTCTTATCGAACAGATCAGCGTAACACGTGTGACCGCATGGTGAGTGATACAAAGTCGGAAATTTGAAGAAGTGTGAGTGTGCAAGAGATTGTGGTGACACCTTTGTGATGAGTGGCATGCCTGAAGCTTAGTACCTACACTATCCACACATCGTATATTTCAAACAGACGTTACATCACGTTAACCAGTGAAACAAATTCATAAATACACATGAATATCCACTCAAGTGGTGAGAAGTTTCCAAACAGTTGTGTAGACCTATTCAGGTTGAGTGTGTATGCTAGTGCAATCAATCTCTTAGTCAAATACATAGGTACTTGTGTCATGAAACAGCCTCTCAGCTCACACTGATAATCCCCTCTCGTGTCATCGCTATTGGGCAGAAACCCCACACCGAATATCAATTAGACACTAAACATTAGGCGGTCGTTCTACAAGTGAGCATCTTGCTCATAAATATCGGTAAGAATACTGGAGACGATGAATTGTATGTGGTTGACATTACATAAGCTACTGAGGATTTGACTCGTGACTGCACTGAGGACTCATCAGTCATCATCAAACGAAGAAAAATACACGCATCATTTCACTCGAACTTACATTGAGAACCGAGATACTGCAAGGCACTTGAGGAAGAGTTATCCATTTTGATGACGAACCTCCTATATATATATGCATTTGAGAAATTGTGAAAAGAAGTGTTTGTGTCCATGACCTATGAAGGTTTGTTAAGACGCATGACTTCAATTTAGTTTGACAAATTATCTGTAACATTGCTAGTTAATTAGATCTATCGGATAGAATGTATTAGTGCTGTTCTCTTGAGCGATATGCATGTGATTCAGCGTCAAGCCAATCTGTGAATCACGTACATCTACTGACCTGACTAAATCATATTTTGTAGAAGATCTCACTTGAAACTGGTGTTCTAGCAAACAAGCTCTAATACATTCTATCCGATAGATCTAATTAACTAGCAATGTTACAGATAATTTGTCAAACTAAATTGAAGTCATGCGTCTTAACAAACCTTCATAGGTCATGGACACAAACACTTCTTTTCACAATTTCTCAAATGCATATATATATAGGAGGTTCGTCATCAAAATGGATAACTCTTCCTCAAGTGCCTTGCAGTATCTCGGTTCTCAATGTAAGTTCGAGTGAAATGATGCGTGTATTTTTCTTCGTTTGATGATGACTGATGAGTCCTCAGTGCAGTCACGAGTCGAATCCTCAGTAGCTTATGTAATGTCAACCACATACAATTCATCGTCTCCAGTATTCTTACCGATATTTATGAGCAAGATGCTCACTTGTAGAACGACCGCCTAATGTTTAGTGTCTAATTGATATTCGGTGTGGGGTTTCTGCCCAATAGCGATGACACGAGAGGGGATTATCAGTGTGAGCTGAGAGGCTGTTTCATGACACAAGTACCTATGTATTTGACTAAGAGATTGATTGCACTAGCATACACACTCAACCTGAATAGGTCTACACAACTGTTTGGAAACTTCTCACCACTTGAGTGGATATTCATGTGTATTTATGAATTTGTTTCACTGGTTAACGTGATGTAACGTCTGTTTGAAATATACGATGTGTGGATAGTGTAGGTACTAAGCTTCAGGCATGCCACTCATCACAAAGGTGTCACCACAATCTCTTGCACACTCACACTTCTTCAAATTTCCGACTTTGTATCACTCACCATGCGGTCACACGTGTTACGCTGATCTGTTCGATAAGAATATATTCGGCTTTACAGCACCAATTCTTATTTCTCCGTGATATACAGATATCCTGAAACGGTATTGTAGAAAGTCAGGGAGGCTGAGAAGAATATCATTCCTACATCAACGCATGCTAGGGTATGCTGTCCAAGAGGATTTTCATGGAAGAGAATGAGATTTGAGTACTTACTTATATGTTCTCACCATCGCACTGATACACAGCCGGCAATATCCTCATTCACTCTGAGTGGGTTCAAACTTGTACAGTCAGTCGATGAAATAGTTGAATTGGTCTGGCTCGTAAGCCATTATCTTGCATCAACTGTTTTCCTTGACTAGTTTCCATCTCGATTTGACATAGACTGGTGCATCCATTTGTAGTGGCGTCTCACCTGCCGTTTAAAACTGGACGCTAAAAATGTGGAGAGGACTAAGAGCATTGTTCATTGAAATGCATACAGTAATCCCAATGAATACGATAAACTGTTTTGCTTAGAATTTCAATGGTCAGTCCCAACAATTTGCTCATTTTCAGATCTCGCGCATCACTGATCATCTAATAAGGATGGATTCAAAGGATTTCGAAACGGCATCTGGAAAACTTGTTCAATATATTATTGAGTATCGAAACGGTGCAAACAAACGGAAATTCTCTGTACTTCCTGATCTGGAGAAGATTAAACCTGGTTATCTGCAAAGGCTACTGCCCAACAGAGCACCGGAAAACAAAGAGCAGTTTGACGAAATACTTCAAGATATAAGGCAAAAAATCATACCTGGAGTGAGTCAATTTCAGACATTTATCTAACCCTTCTATTGCACTAAACTTATATATGCAGCGTAGACCTCAATGCTTAGAAATAATCTCGAAATTGGGACACGAAATTCAGTTTCTCAAGATAACTTATTTTCGTGTAATTCTTTAATTTCTTCGACTTTAAATGAGGTCTTGTAATGAGGCATGAGTACACACAATCTGCCTTACAGGTGGAAATCTACGACAGTTCATACCTCAGTCGAAGTCTTCCCACTTCCAAACATTGTGTTGCCATATTTGAAACCCACTCCACGCATTCACATGAAACAGCAAAGGCGATAGTGATAATTATCTTCCGTTAGATTCAAGACATAAAACTCACTCATGTTTCATTGTTACTCACAGTAGTCTGTTATGAGATCCTAGTCCTTGAGTGGGATCCCACACCCGCTTATGTTTACTTTAACTTGCTTATCTCATTGTATGGCTAGCTGCCAGACTCAGTGAAGCAACTAGTAGAAGTCATTACTTCGTCCAGTCATGAGAAGACGTGTGATGCCTACAAGAAAACACACACTACTATTGATTGATGTTTGTCTGTTGTTCTGTTGATTTCCACCAGGTGACTCATTGGCAACATCCAGATTTCCATGCGTTCTATCCAACTTGCACATCCTATCCAACAATGCTCGGAGACCTGTTAGCTGCAGCTATTGGATGTGTAGGATTCACATGGGTAAGTTCACATGTGATGCTTTTACTTCGACAAGAATTCATCGGTTCTTTGCATGTTCATATCGGAGGACGAATCGAAATGAATGGATGAAGTACTGGTGTGATGAATAGTGTGATCCAAATAGCTATCAGCAAGATGTCCATCAGCTTGTTAGAAAAATGATGTGTGGAGTACACACTGTCGCCTTTTCACATGGGCGTTGTAAGCTTAGAAGAAAAGTCACCACGTGCACATCACATGGTGTTTTGTGCACATCAAACTGCCGATATCTTAGGCTTCATATATCTTCTGTCTTGTCATTTGAGTCGACAGGATTCGGATGTAGCCTGAGATTGAATGGAGGGTAGCTGGAAAATAACGCCACACGATGACGTTCCCGTTTTTGCCATATTTCTATTGAGTGCAGTTATTCCAGGTGAGGTGAGTGAAAGTGAAACAGCTATCGTGACTCAGTAGTCTGGTTGATAATGTTCAGCTGATAGAAGCCATTGGTGCTGTGTTATATTCTCAATGGGAACAACACCACTCGTTTGGACTTAGGTACGCCCAGGTGATGAGTGACTCTACAACTGGTCTCAAACCGAGCAAACAGCAACTTTGGTTTGCTGGAGGGTTTCTCCCCAAATTACGATTAGACTACAGAAACCCTATCAAGGAAATATATTGTTCACCAACAAACAGATAAGATTTCCATTGAAGAAGAATTTGGATGTTTGTGATGAGCTGGAAATGCTTGTGCACCAGAATGAGAGAAATAAGATGAAATAATGAACAGAGATTTTATCCCTTTCGTGTTGCTTGATTTTCAGTTTGTGCAAAGTCCCTTTCGAGTCAGGAAGTCAGAAGCCTTTTTCTCGTTTAAATCACTGGGAGAATGTTTAAGCCCACGAATCGTCTCTCCCAACCTTGCACTGACAGATATAGTAACTGGAATGCTGACAGCACCTCTCTGATAGTTGTAATTTAATAACAACCCTAACCAAATTAAGCTGGTCTTGCAAGATTGTAAGATGGAATTACTACTGACAAGCATAATTACATTCGCATTCGGGCAACCGCTATCTGACTGAATCACTGAGCACAGCACATATGAAATTAGAATGTGTTTCGCAGTTGGCCTAGCAGAATACCAGAAGTTCGAGTGTTGGTAGCATCCATTTCCTTGAAGCATTGCACCATGTTTGAAAATAGTTATTCCATCTGAAACTTATTTAACTTGTGTATACATGGATATAAATATCCTTATGAAATTGAAATCTCTATTGTTTCTGAACAGTTGGCTTGTCCAGCGTGCACAGAATTGGAAGTGATTACACTGGATTGGCTAGTGCATGCGTTGAAACTACCAGAGAAGTTCCTGTCAGCTACTGGGAAACGTGATCCTTCACATACAGGCGGTGGAGTAATAGAGGTGAGTTCATTATCCCATCCTACTTAGGTACTGATACACACAACAGAATGTGTAGTTTGCATGTCTAGAGTGAACAACGAAAAGTAGAGTCGCTCTTCTGTGAAGTTAGAATGACTCATTGATATTTACCTCCCAACTGGTTAATTAACTCTGACATCTCTGATGATTGAATGTCGGATAAGAGATAAGCCAGTGGACACTATTCGGTGTCTAACGGATTCCATCTTTCCAAATTACAGAGCGAATGACAGAGGATTCCGTATCCCATATCACAGACTAGATATATTCTGTGTCAGTGATAATGCTCTGAATCGGACCGACCAGCAGTGGAACATGCAGAGTGGTGTCCTACGCGCTGAAAAGATACGGAGTTGATGAGGGAGTAGGTTGAACAGGAGATGGTGTTATATTTCGGAGGAAGTAGATGAAAACAACTCTGACTGGTTGAAATTACAAGTGGTGGGGAATTATCGTTTTTGTTGTACAGTCTGGTTGAATGATGTGTTTTATGCATTGTTCATTTTACTCAATCTTGTTCAGCTGTCAGCAAGCATGGCGTGTGCAACACTAACAATGGGTTTGCGTGACAGGATGCTGAGAAATTACATCAAGGATCCACATTCACTGAGCGAAGATGATCATCTGAAGGGGAATGGACCGGGTTCTTTGGTTGATCGAATGGTTGCTTACACATCGGACCAAGTAAGTCAGTCATCCACAACTTGAGGCTTGATATACAGTGAGTTCAATCGGCTTATCTTTACACAGTAGATACACTTGGAACTAGCGCAGTGCATGGATGAACAACGAAAAGAGGAATTGAACACAACCTACAAAACACTACACTGGACAAGGAAGTGAAGAAGAGTGCGAGCAAAGAGAAAAGACATTTCTACGACACATTGGCAATTGAAGCAGAACAGGCTGCAGGCTGGTAGGAGAGACCTGATAACACTTCATGTTACAATACCCAAGTGCTAACCATGTCTCGATTATATTTCATTCTAAAAAATGCTACTGAAATTTAAACCAAATATAATGAATAACATATAGGAATTTATTCTTTGTTTGCATATGACTGAAGAAAGTATAAGCATAACATAAGCTCTTGATCATATTTCCTATCACCTACATTTCTCTGTCTTCATTATTTCTCAGTCACGGCTGGATTTAATACCCTATCATTTAGGTGAGGAATATGATAGAAGTCACAGTTCCACTGTTAATGAATGGTTTAGAAGCCACTTAAAGACCTTTACCAATGAATTATTCAACTTGTGTCAGCATCACAACTCCTTGTATCCCCATCTCATTACAACCGTTATGTTTTTCGATAATGACCAACAGCGAGACTGAGGATGCATGTCTTTCTGCTACTTTACCTTCATCAGATGGATGTGTCCACATTCAAACTGATAGCTATATCCCATACATAAAGCCACTACTCATCGATTCCAGCATCGAACTGCCATCCACTAAGTTAAGGAATTATGCCAGCTACCTTCCAATCAATAGTAATTCATAACATCTCTAGCCTGAATAAAAGATTGTGTGGTCTTCAGTAGCGTAGAATGTAGGCTGTATTGGTGTAACAGTTCCTTGTGTAAGTGTAATAATATTGCAGCGTTTTACACCTGTGTTAGCACCGAAATCATGAGAGTGTCTTCTTCTCAATTTGGAGTTGACAGCTGCTAGTAGAACTCAGTTTCAACAGTTATCGCTTAAAATGTCTGTGTTATTCATGAGCGTGACGAGATAAGGTAACCGACTTCTGTGCAATGGTTATGCTTTTATTACAGCTTGGAACTCCCGTTTCTCACACTCGGAATCTCTTCAAATTCAAAAACAAGATATCTGTGTTGGCATATCATTCTCTTGTACGTCTTCTAAGACACGGGCACATGTAGCTAAATGCAAAATAAGCTGAAACTGTCAGCCAATTCCAATAAATTTATTTTAGAATGTTTATTTGATGTAGCTGAGGATGATACAGAATTATTTACTTGATAACATCTTACACATACTGATACTGGGTGGTGATTAGAGAAGAAATGAAAACCTATATTATGGTAAGGTTCGAATAAAAAATGTTCAGGTTACTGGACAGCTGTTGTGCCAACCCATTTATGCAACTCAGCTTCTGTCGACCGCTAAAATATCACTTCAGTCAAGGGGGATTTACCTCGGCTGTCGCGTAGATGCATGCTTTTTAACCTCGAATTCATTATAACCCTATAAGGGGCCCAAAGAGTTTTCTCTTCCCGTTCAAAATCTCTCTCCCACTATAAATCATGACTAGAAAGTAACAAGAATCAACACATGAAGTAGAAAAGATATGTGGTTACCTTGATAGTGCAGAATAAACAGTGTTCAAAACATGATTTGGTAAATAATACTGTATGACCGTATCCAATATTATCCTTCCCTAGGGGTTCACTGTGGTTCACTGGCAGAGGGACTCGACTTTTAACTGTTGGGTCATAGGTTATAGACTCATCCTGTCTACCACTGCTTGAGTATGTGGAGAGTATAACTAGCACTCACACCAGTTTAGTTCATGATCCGGTTACCTAGCCTATGTATGTGTACCTAGTTGGATCACTTTTTTTTATCACAAAACAAGACCAACACTGAATCATAATCTACTGCAGTCCACAAGTGTAGTGTCCCAATAACCCATTTATGCAACTCAGCTTCTGTCGACCGCTAAAATATCACTTCAGTCAAGGGGGATTTACCTCGGCTGTCGCGTAGATGCATGCTTTTTAACCTCGAATTCATTATAACCCTATAAGGGGCCCAAAGAGTTTTCTCTTCCCGTTCAAAATCTCTCTCCCACTATAAATCATGACTAGAAAGTAACAAGAATCAACACATGAAGTAGAAAAGATATGTGGTTACCTTGATAGTGCAGAATAAACAGTGTTCAAAACATGATTTGGTAAATAATACTGTATGACCGTATCCAATATTATCCTTCCCTAGGGGTTCACTGTGGTTCACTGGCAGAGGGACTCGACTTTTAACTGTTGGGTCATAGGTTATAGACTCATCCTGTCTACCACTGCTTGAGTATGTGGAGAGTATAACTAGCACTCACACCAGTTTAGTTCATGATCCGGTTACCTAGCCTATGTATGTGTACCTAGTTGGATCACTTTTTTTTATCACAAAACAAGACCAACACTGAATCATAATCTACTGCAGTCCACAAGTGTAGTGTCCCAATAACTTTTGAAATTTGGAAACAACTACATTGTTTAGATTTTCAGTTATGCAGAAGATCGACTTTTCAAATCTTCACTCGCCCTCTCTCTCTCTGTCTGTCTCTCACTGCATGACATCATAGCTGACCCTATGTGAATATCTAAACCTGATGTAGAGTGCTATCAGTCACTTGCATCACAGAAAGAAATTTTCAACAATTCATGTACAGAGACTCTCACATTTATACACAGTTTAACAATTAGCTCTATATTGGATGATAAATTTGCAAACGATTCACAAATTGCATCCACAGTCCACTTTGAAAGTTTTAATAGGTCAGTAGTTTTCCAACTACCCAACCATGATGCCAACTGAATTTCCATTGGAAATCATTCAACCAAGATCATGAAGTATGACCTCTGAAACAAAACTACAGTGAACTAATAAAGTGTACTGCTGGACGGTGTGAGTATTCAGAGACCACACAGGTAAAATATATAGCAGATATCATGGGAAGTGAAAAATACTACTAGACAACAATATAGTGTGACATAGTCATAACACCGATCCCTATGTTTCATAGAATGAAAGATAATGACATGAACTCCAACAGATGGTAGGAAGAAATAACCGAAAATACTTTCAGCACATAAAATGGATGATAACTTTCGAGTATCTTTCCAAATTCAACATTTGATCATAAACATTTCAGCAGCTATGAAAAATGCGAATTTACATTAATTGATCAGTGGAAAGTAATCGACTTTATCTTGTCCAGTACTAGGTGATGATCAAATCCGATGGATCCTTTTTCAGTGTATTACCAAGAAAACTAGACAGGTGATCAATACTGTGCACTTTGAGGGATGGTGGTTGGTTGGAAGTAATTGATAAGAAACTCTGATTGACCTCGGTTTTATGCTTCTTAACACTCATCAGCAGCGCGTGCCTCCAAACTTGAGCAAACTGATGTCATCTGAGAGATAGGAACACGCATCACACAATGTTGCAGTCAGGGATGTTACCTTTGAGCTATTCGAGCTGCGATCAACCTGTCACAGGGCTGGATTAAATACATTGATTGGGTCCAGTCGTCGGTGCTGACTGAATATCATCCATCGTTTTGTAATGTGACCAATTAACCAAGCTGTGACACATATTATTGCGACTCACTCCAATGGATGTTGGCTGATTGGAGGCAATCCATAAGAATCCCTGTGTGATCAATGTTTCTGTCGGTACTTCGGACAAGATAACATGGAATTGGTCACTTTCCAGTAAGCAAACATTCTATATTATAAAGTTCTCAGGCAGGTCAACTAAATGTCAGCAAGATCTGTGACTGCAGTTCCAGGTCACCCCATTTTGGATCTTTGAGGGGATATCAGTCCCATTGACACTTCAGACACACCCTGCTGACGAATACTACCGAGCGCGAAAGCAAGATCCAATGCTTCCTGCCACCTAACCAAAGTGACTCTGGATTACATGTGACTGCAGGTTAATGTGTAAGAGGGTTTTGACTGGTTTCATAAAATGGATTACGTCTTCGATATGAGACTAGTCTAGTTGATATCACCCACCACACAATGAGATACCACCATGATCTAGTATGGAGTTGCATACAATCACAGTGCCTAATTTATATAATTACGTTAAGGAATATGGCCTCTTCTGATTAGTTGCAAAATTTATGAACTAAACCCTACAAACACCACCATCACCATCCTTGATGGTATGGCACAATAGCATAAACATGGAAATTGTGTGCATCATTAATTAGCTAATGATAAAAAGGTCGACTTCACTTTACAAATTCCAACAATATTTCATACTACTTACATTTGTGAGTAGTAAGGACGAAACCGACGTAAAAATGCGTAGCGAAATCATGGATTATACACTAAAGTAATTATGAAGGGAACACTGTAAACACTTCTTTTATGTTTTCGTAATGATACAGGATATCCGGTTGTACCAATCACAACCAAAATCAAACAAATCTCCTGAAAGAGAAAGAAAGGAATGGAGAAAACATTCAGATTTGGTTTAGGAGATTTTTTCAAAATAGAGAACAACAAACATAAGAGGATATGAGAAATTTCTGGTTCCATTCAACTTCCGGTTCCGGTATTCAGTAGAATTTCGCTGGTTACTTGCTTGGAAAAGGAAGGAAGGAAAGAAAGGAGAGGAGAGGAGAGAAGAGAAATAAGGGAGTTTTGAAAACACATTTGTATTATTATTATTTTCATATTTATCTACAGGGAGCTGGTATTGCTGAGTTTGATCACAGCTTGACCAAAAATATTACCTGAAACTCACTAGAAAAGATTTCAGCTTGAGTTATCATATTTGTAACCATCACACAGTGTTGTTGGTTAAAATTACTCTGGACAGGCTAATTACTAACCAGATAATTTTCAATTAGTTCCCATCCCAAATCGACATCAGCTGGAAATCCGGCGGGAAGTATGGAGTATTGGACAGTTGTTTCATTCCACTCCTTGAAAAATCCATATGTAGTGGAAGGTCTTGAAATTATATGGGTGAGAGTTTAGGGAAGTTAAATCTTGTGGTCAGCATATCACTACTATTTCATGAGTAATACTCACTTCGGTTAAACAATGTTTCTCCACACTTTCATCGGAGAACTGTTATCACCGATTTGTTTAGTCAATATTTATGAAACTTTTTACACAGACGAAATCTTTAGACTCCATCAATACTGAAATAATAAGGAAGAATTAAATTGTGGATGAAAGTGATGCGATTCGCTTACATGGCTGTGTAAGAAATATATCGCACACAAATCGATTTGGTGTTAGATGTAGGAGAATGTAACCACCATGCAACGACTGCTTACAGTAAAATGGATCAAAGGAATACTAATGTGTATGATAATTATACTGAGAAAGAGGTTGTAAGCCTAAGATTCTCAAATCTGTATAATCTCTGGTTTCAGTCTCTTGAAAATGAATCTTCAAATTATTTATATACTAACCATTTGTCAATTTTTTGCCATGAGATAGTCATCTATGCTCAGATTATTTCTTGAACCTTCAACTTGGCTGTTTTCCAAGCAATGATGAGTAAGAAAACTTCATCTCTCTGACAGGTTTCACAAATGTGGACTGAATAAATGGATGACAACACTTCACTGACTGCAGTGATTGGCAACTGTTATTTCTCGAAACACTTCTTTGTGTCAAAAGTATTACGATTTAAAGAACGTGAAGAATCCTGGTTCATATCTTTTACCAAGAGAACAGTTTATTTAAACTTAACCACTATCGTAGTGCAGATAAGTAATTACCATTTGTGTGTTTCATTCCTGATCTCACTCATTCTTTCCTTCATTGTTCCTTTTTTGAGGTTTTACACTTCAAAATTTGAAGATTAATTCGATGGTTCAAATACCTTGTTTTCACTGACTAATCTAGAAGTTCTCTGTTGATTCCTATAAACGAATAACAAACTGAAACACTATACCGTGCTCATTAGTGATACGCTTCAAGATGAGATTTTGTGACTAGTTGGGCAAACCAAATCTAAAATGATCAGAAATACTTACACATCCAGCCACCTGTTACTCGAATTATAGACTGATTTTTAGCTGATAACCGAACTGTTATGAAACCGACAGTATCTTGTGACAGCTGAATAAATGTATGCATTTTATCCTCGATTAGTAACGTGGAGGGATTTAAATAATTCATCTACCAATTAAACGTACTGATAAATTTTTTGAATAATAGTAAGTTTTTTATATTGCCAATTAATGCTTTCGTTACAATTAACACAAGTGACTGTTATTAGTTGGTTGAAGGCAACCCAAAGAAAAGTATTTTTCACCTACGTTCCATGCTCGCTGCTACTCGTCAGTTAAGTGTAAACTCAGACTCAGTGGAACTGATTTTGGTTGAAAAACAAGAGCCCGGGCTCACTCATTACTGCAGTCACATAGATTGCCAAAGAGCTACTTCATAGGTGACTGACCTATTGAGACTGACCTCAAACAGACACTTGGTCATAAGTAAGACTAAAACAATCCGACAAGATGAGAGCAATAGGCGTATTTCTCTAAAACATTCTCATTAGCTTCATCAATTAGGAAGCATTTTACACGTAGAGAATACGGAGACTTTCAGATCAAGAACATGGATAACACCAGTTAATTTGTGTAAAGTAAAACATTAGCAGATGAACTTCATCGTCCAAATTCTCCTCAACAATAGTCATGACAAGTGACCATTCCCATTTCAACTCAAGAAAAGCATAAGAAATCACTGACACTTGCAGAAGAGTTTTGAATTAGAGGAGATGAAAAGAACTTCAGTGTAATTCTGTCAAGCTGAACAGCGAGTTGCTACAATTTACAAATTATCGATTTGGGGATAAAGACAAAACGTCTGACTGACTGAAGTGATTTGGAGGGTAATGTGAATTCTAAAGTATTCAGTGTATGCTAATGGAAAGAAGATTGGTTGAAGAAAATCAGGAGTTTGACGTACAGTCACATTGTTTAGAATGGAGATGTTGTAGGCTTCAATTAAACGGAGTGATAATGTTGACTTTATCAAGTTATTGCATCCAGTCTGAAGATTAGACATTCACTGTGAAATATCGAGAGATCAGAAGACATGAAACAACTATCATCCCTGATGTAGACTACTCACACTGACTATTATATCACAGTGTGCAGTTCGCCAGTCATGTCTATCTAACCTAAACATTTGTGCTTCACGTTATCATTATCTTCTCAAAGCATACCATATGCAATTTCAGAATAGCATATGACCAGTGATCGATAAGTCAATGTGGGTTGTCAATCTCTGAAGTAGAGTCCTAAGCTCAACAAAATTGAAAGTGCTAGAGAAAGGTCTTAACTTTAATGTTGTGGTTAACGCGTAGAAACCAGAAGGTGTCATTCCTAAAATAGAGATAGCGTTAAGTTCAATAGATAAGACAATTACAGATGAGGTAAGAGCACAGTGTGCTCTAACGCTGAAACGACAGAAGAAAATGAAATCTAAGATACGCAAGTCAGATAGGAAAGCTCTCAGGAACTTTCAAAATGAAAACAATATAGTAACTGCTAAATCGGATAAAGGCAACTCAGCAGTTGTAATGAACAAATCTGACTACATCTACAAGGCGAACGAGCATATAGAAAGAAGACCATATGAGGAAATTAAGACGTCAGTGGACACTATTACGAATAAGGTCAAGAAATCGACAGGGGTTCTGATACGCCGGATGAAGCCGTTTCTAGGTGATTCAAAGTGATTTGCTTTAATGCCGAAAACTAATAATCCCAGTGGAATGTATAGTATTATTAGGATTCATAAGTCAGGTTATCCCATCAGGCCCATAGTAGATTTTAGAAACACACCGACTTACGAGTTGTCTAAATATTTAGAGATGTTGTTATGCCCAATAAGAAATCACTCAAAATCTCGACTTACCAACTCTTATGATTTAAAGCATAGATTAGATAACAGTTAAAAAATGGTTAGTTTTGACATAGCTAGCCTTTACACAAATATACCGATTGACATGGCTCTACAGGCAGTTCGAAATGGGCTTAAAGATGACAAAGAACTTAAGCAGCGAACTAAGGTACCTATCGAGGAAATCATACTAGGAGTACAATTGTGCCCAACATCTACAGTTTTTTAAGTTTCAAAATAAAATATATAAACAAACTGAAGGTGTTGCTATGGGATCACCAATATCCCCTATCGTCGCAGACAAATTTATGGATAATTGGGAACAGGTGGCCCTCCAAACATTTAGTCCCACTCCAAAGATATGGTTCCGATATGTGGATGATACGTTTACAGTACTGAAGTCGGAACACATCAATAGGTTCTTGGCACATATAACTTCAGTAGCAAGTGCAATCTAATTTACCTGTGACTTAGAAAGTGATGAAGGTGAGCTAGCAATTTTGGATTGCAAGATTAAGCGAACACAAGAAGGAAATCTAGAGACTAGTGTCTATAGGATACCTACCCATTCGAATCGTTACTTAGACTTCAAATCCTTTCACTCCATTTCAGTTGAAGTAGGCCTACTTAAATGCTTAAGTGATAGAGCAAAAAGCTTACTAGTAGATCGGAAAATCTGCGACAAGACATTAGACACATCAAGAATACCCTACATTTCAATAACTACCCACGAAAATTTATAAATAAATTCATAGCAAATCTAAAGAAAAATATTAGCAGTGGTAGTAGTAGTAATAATAATTCTACTACTAATAGTAATAATGGCAACAGGGTTAAGAAGGAATTCAAAGCCTCTACTGTGTTACCATACAAGAAAGGCACCTCAGAAGCATTACGAAGAATTCTCAATAAGGCTGGGAATGAAGTGGCATTCAAACCAACAAACTCACTTAGAAACAAGCTTTGTAGGTTAAAAGATCCGATTGATGCAATTAGGCAAAATAATCTGGTTTACAAGATCCCTTGCAATGATTGCGAGGTCAAGTACATAGGTCAAAGCAGTCAACCAGGGTCGATTAGAATAACAGAGCACAAAAACTTAGCTAAATCAAGATTAGTAGATCCTAATAAGATAAGAAATCCAGAGAAAAACTCGGCTGTAGCTCTGCATGAGATGACACACAACCAGGCAGTAGGGTGGGATAGGGTCGCAGTGTTGAAAACAAACCTAGTTGGGTAAAGAGAGAGATTGATAACCGAATCTTTGTTTATCGAAACAACATCAAACATATGCCATCGAAATGATTCTGCACCTGTCCCAGAAATATGGAAAATTCTACTACCCTTGTCATCACAGAGAAGGAGAGAAAATTAGGAATATATAAAGACTGTCTAGAAGTTGTGGAGTTACCTGATATGAATATCGACAATGAATTGTGTCCGAAACGTTATCCAGTAAATGCTACTGTGTGATATTTCTAATAAACAGACTAAAATGGAATTCTAAGGAGAGTTTATCTGCATAGCTGTCCACATGCACAGATTTGATGAAAATTGTTTTGAAATGTTTGCTATCCAATCCATGATAAATAAAATATTTTGTAATCATCAGATTTTTGACCATTCTCGAAAACAATGCCTAGTTTACTTCACTTCAACATTTATCCATGAAGTTTACAGTAGAAGAATTTCATAAAGTATTTGCTATGAAGGCATAGGAACTCAATGTTCAGGGTCATTAGAATTATACTAGATGCATATACTGCAGAATTGTTCAGGTTTGTTCAATACAATTCATTTTCAAAACATTGTATTGTTTGTGAAGTGTATGTAGAGAGGAGAAAATTGATTTCTGATTCCCAGACATCCATATATATTCGGTGATAGTAGTCTTTGAAGTCTAATATGATATATCTTGAGTTGAAGAAAATGCTACACTTACTACGATACCCTCACCTAAATGACGAAATTCAGGGTATAGTAGTGCACTGCCTCCATAAGCTCCATCTACATGAAACCAAATATTGTATTTCTTGCCTAAAATTAAACATACAACAACGGATATTGTTCACTATTATTCTTAGCCTTTACTATACAATATAAATTATGGCTTTCACATGAATGCGAAAGTGACCCTTCTCATATGCTTTCAAGAATGCCTCTTAGGTTGTATGTGATGACTAAATGTATTCAACCCTTTGGCATTAGAATTTATCAAGTTAGATGATAGGTCAGAAGTGATATGCATGCGATTCAGTGTCAAGCCAATCCGTGAATCACAAACATTTACTGACCTGACTAAATCATATTTTGAAGAAGATCTCACGTGAAACTGGTGTTCTAGCAAACAAGCTCTAATACATTCTATCCGATAGATCTAATTAACTAGCAATGTTACAGATAATTTGTCAAACTAAATTGAAGTCATGCGTCTTAACAAACCTTCATAGGTCATGGACACAAACACTTCTTTTCACAATTTCTCAAATGCATATATATATAGGAGGTTCGTCATCAAAATGGATAACTCTTCCTCAAGTGCCTTGCAGTATCTCGGTTCTCAATGTAAGTTCGAGTGAAATGATGCGTGTATTTTTCTTCGTTTGATGATGACTGATGAGTCCTCAGTGCAGTCACGAGTCGAATCCTCAGTAGCTTATGTAATGTCAACCACATACAATTCATCGTCTCCAGTATTCTTACCGATATTTATGAGCAAGATGCTCACTTGTAGAACGACCGCCTAATGTTTAGTGTCTAATTGATATTCGGTGTGGGGTTTCTGCCCAATAGCGATGACACGAGAGGGGATTATCAGTGTGAGCTGAGAGGCTGTTTCATGACACAAGTACCTATGTATTTGACTAAGAGATTGATTGCACTAGCATACACACTCAACCTGAATAGGTCTACACAACTGTTTGGAAACTTCTCACCACTTGAGTGGATATTCATGTGTATTTATGAATTTGTTTCACTGGTTAACGTGATGTAACGTCTGTTTGAAATATACGATGTGTGGATAGTGTAGGTACTAAGCTTCAGGCATGCCACTCATCACAAAGGTGTCACCACAATCTCTTGCACACTCACACTTCTTCAAATTTCCGACTTTGTATCACTCACCATGCGGTCACACGTGTTACGCTGATCTGTTCGATAAGAATATATTCGGCTTTACAGCACCAATTCTTATTTCTCCGTGATATACAGATATCCTGAAACGGTATTGTAGAAAGTCAGGGAGGCTGAGAAGAATATCATTCCTACATCAACGCATGCTAGGGTATGCTGTCCAAGAGGATTTTCATGGAAGAGAATGAGATTTGAGTACTTACTTATATGTTCTCACCATCGCACTGATACACAGCCGGCAATATCCTCATTCACTCTGAGTGGGTTCAAACTTGTACAGTCAGTCGATGAAATAGTTGAATTGGTCTGGCTCGTAAGCCATTATCTTGCATCAACTGTTTTCCTTGACTAGTTTCCATCTCGATTGACATAGACTGGTGCATCCATTTGTAGTGGCGTCTCACCTGCCGTTTAAAACTGGACGCTAAAAATGTGGAGAGGACTAAGAGCATTGTTCATTGAAATGCATACAGTAATCCCAATGAATACGATAAACTGTTTTGCTTAGAATTTCAATGGTCAGTCCCAACAATTTGCTCATTTTCAGATCTCGCGCATCACTGATCATCTAATAAGGATGGATTCAAAGGATTTCGAAACGGCATCTGGAAAACTTGTTCAATATATTATTGAGTATCGAAACGGTGCAAACAAACGGAAATTCTCTGTACTTCCTGATCTGGAGAAGATTAAACCTGGTTATCTGCAAAGGCTACTGCCCAACAGAGCACCGGAAAACAAAGAGCAGTTTGACGAAATACTTCAAGATATAAGGCAAAAAATCATACCTGGAGTGAGTCAATTTCAGACATTTATCTAACCCTTCTATTGCACTAAACTTATATATGCAGCGTAGACCTCAATGCTTAGAAATAATCTCGAAATTGGGACACGAAATTCAGTTTCTCAAGATAACTTATTTTCGTGTAATTCTTTAATTTCTTCGACTTTAAATGAGGTCTTGTAATGAGGCATGAGTACACACAATCTGCCTTACAGGTGGAAATCTACGACAGTTCATACCTCAGTCGAAGTCTTCCCACTTCCAAACATTGTGTTGCCATATTTGAAACCCACTCCACGCATTCACATGAAACAGCAAAGGCGATAGTGATAATTATCTTCCGTTAGATTCAAGACATAAAACTCACTCATGTTTCATTGTTACTCACAGTAGTCTGTTATGAGATCCTAGTCCTTGAGTGGGATCCCACACCCGCTTATGTTTACTTTAACTTGCTTATCTCATTGTATGGCTAGCTGCCAGACTCAGTGAAGCAACTAGTAGAAGTCATTACTTCGTCCAGTCATGAGAAGACGTGTGATGCCTACAAGAAAACACACACTACTATTGATTGATGTTTGTCTGTTGTTCTGTTGATTTCCACCAGGTGACTCATTGGCAACATCCAGATTTCCATGCGTTCTATCCAACTTGCACATCCTATCCAACAATGCTCGGAGACCTGTTAGCTGCAGCTATTGGATGTGTAGGATTCACATGGGTAAGTTCACATGTGATGCTTTTACTTCGACAAGAATTCATCGGTTCTTTGCATGTTCATATCGGAGGACGAATCGAAATGAATGGATGAAGTACTGGTGTGATGAATAGTGTGATCCAAATAGCTATCAGCAAGATGTCCATCAGCTTGTTAGAAAAATGATGTGTGGAGTACACACTGTCGCCTTTTCACATGGGCGTTGTAAGCTTAGAAGAAAAGTCACCACGTGCACATCACATGGTGTTTTGTGCACATCAAACTGCCGATATCTTAGGCTTCATATATCTTCTGTCTTGTCATTTGAGTCGACAGGATTCGGATGTAGCCTGAGATTGAATGGAGGGTAGCTGGAAAATAACGCCACACGATGACGTTCCCGTTTTTGCCATATTTCTATTGAGTGCAGTTATTCCAGGTGAGGTGAGTGAAAGTGAAACAGCTATCGTGACTCAGTAGTCTGGTTGATAATGTTCAGCTGATAGAAGCCATTGGTGCTGTGTTATATTCTCAATGGGAACAACACCACTCGTTTGGACTTAGGTACGCCCAGGTGATGAGTGACTCTACAACTGGTCTCAAACCGAGCAAACAGCAACTTTGGTTTGCTGGAGGGTTTCTCCCCAAATTACGATTAGACTACAGAAACCCTATCAAGGAAATATATTGTTCACCAACAAACAGATAAGATTTCCATTGAAGAAGAATTTGGATGTTTGTGATGAGCTGGAAATGCTTGTGCACCAGAATGAGAGAAATAAGATGAAATAATGAACAGAGATTTTATCCCTTTCGTGTTGCTTGATTTTCAGTTTGTGCAAAGTCCCTTTCGAGTCAGGAAGTCAGAAGCCTTTTTCTCGTTTAAATCACTGGGAGAATGTTTAAGCCCACGAATCGTCTCTCCCAACCTTGCACTGACAGATATAGTAACTGGAATGCTGACAGCACCTCTCTGATAGTTGTAATTTAATAACAACCCTAACCAAATTAAGCTGGTCTTGCAAGATTGTAAGATGGAATTACTACTGACAAGCATAATTACATTCGCATTCGGGCAACCGCTATCTGACTGAATCACTGAGCACAGCACATATGAAATTAGAATGTGTTTCGCAGTTGGCCTAGCAGAATACCAGAAGTTCGAGTGTTGGTGGCATCCATTTCCTTGAAGCATTGCACCATGTTTGAAAATAGTTATTCCATCTGAAACTTATTTAACTTGTGTATACATGGATATAAATATCCTTATGAAATTGAAATCTCTATTGTTTCTGAACAGTTGGCTTGTCCAGCGTGCACAGAATTGGAAGTGATTACACTGGATTGGCTAGTGCATGCGTTGAAACTACCAGAGAAGTTCCTGTCAGCTACTGGGAAACGTGATCCTTCACATACAGGCGGTGGAGTAATAGAGGTGAGTTCATTATCCCATCCTACTTAGGTACTGATACACACAACAGAATGTGTAGTTTGCATGTCTAGAGTGAACAACGAAAAGTAGAGTCGCTCTTCTGTGAAGTTAGAATGACTCATTGATATTTACCTCCCAACTGGTTAATTAACTCTGACATCTCTGATGATTGAATGTCGGATAAGAGATAAGCCAGTGGACACTATTCGGTGTCTAACGGATTCCATCTTTCCAAATTACAGAGCGAATGACAGAGGATTCCGTATCCCATATCACAGACTAGATATATTCTGTGTCAGTGATAATGCTCTGAATCGGACCGACCAGCAGTGGAACATGCAGAGTGGTGTCCTACGCGCTGAAAAGATACGGAGTTGATGAGGGAGTAGGTTGAACAGGAGATGGTGTTATATTTCGGAGGAAGTAGATGAAAACAACTCTGACTGGTTGAAATTACAAGTGGTGGGGAATTATCGTTTTTGTTGTACAGTCTGGTTGAATGATGTGTTTTATGCATTGTTCATTTTACTCAATCTTGTTCAGCTGTCAGCAAGCATGGCGTGTGCAACACTAACAATGGGTTTGCGTGACAGGATGCTGAGAAATTACATCAAGGATCCACATTCACTGAGCGAAGATGATCATCTGAAGGGGAATGGACCGGGTTCTTTGGTTGATCGAATGGTTGCTTACACATCGGACCAAGTAAGTCAGTCATCCACAACTTGAGGCTTGATATACAGTGAGTTCAATCGGCTTATCTTTACACAGTAGATACACTTGGAACTAGCTGCATACATTTTCGCAGTTAGACACAGTCACAAAAGAGTGGGATGAGTGAGCAGCTAATTCCAGAGGAAATTAAACCTCATATATTTGAGCTGGTTCTGCGTAGGAGTGTAGGATACTCAGAGATTGGTGTGAAGTCATTAACAGCTGATATGTCTCGACAGTGAGTGAAGAACAGCGTTCACGTCTGTGATAACGGGACTAAAATCGAGAAGCTGGGAACACATTTTTATGGGATGTCTGTACAACTGGCTACAACACACAATGACACCGGAAACACCACTAGCGTTCACTTTATCCATTTGATTGCACATGTCAATCAAGACTAAGTTTTATGTGTGGCAACGTTGCTGAGGATGACTCAGCATCATTGTGAATTTCACTGGTCACTTTGCTGTCCCCATCTACTGATTCTGACAAATTCAGAAACCTAGTAGTAGATAGATATACTGGTGGATATGACAGTTTTTGTGACTGAGCGGAGAGTGAAACGCCGTCGAGATGCTGAACTTTACTCAGAGCATTCACCTGTAGAAGTAGTAGTGGAAGTGGTCGTAGCAGTAGTAGTAGTAGTAGTAGTAGTAGTAGTAGTAGTAGTAGTAGTAGTAGTAGTAGTAGTAGTATATATGACTAGTGAAAATATTCAGCGCATGCGGTTTCGGTTTCGTCACTCACTGGTTGTATTGAACAGAAGACAAACGGTCCTCTGGCAAATTTCAGCTGTGTGATGCACCAATCAACGATCAATTTGTGGTCAAGTACTCTCATCATATTTCACTTTCCCATCGAGCCAAAGTTTATCTCGATCGGAAAGATGTAGAGTGTTCAGAGTTGATGTGTAGCTGTGCACTTTTACCAATCGATAAAGCTTCACAATTTTTTGAGATGAGTGTCTTTTGGAATATGACCAGTCGCCTGTACGGAGAAAATGGTGACAACTTTAGTTTGTCCCTGTTCATACACTGAATCACTCATAGTTGGCATTGGTGTTAGGAGGAAAGGTGGGCACACCAGGAACAATACTGTGTTTGTACCGATGACTAGGCATCTCAAGTGCGCAGAAACAGATACTGGACCACAGAGATGCCAGAAGTAGTCGTTATTCAATGAGAACAACTTGGGTATTTGTTGAACGAGAACAGTGTTTTCTTGCGACAGGTTGATGTTGAGTACACAATTAGTTGTTGAGAGAATCACGATTCGTGTCATCAAATGCCCATTTACAAAACGATCTGTATCATGTACAACCCACCCCTACTCAAAGTATCCTTTGTCTAACCATCACTGTTCACTCTTCCAAGGCACACAGTTCAGTGAGTCGAGCATTTCGAATAGCTATGGTCAACAGTCGGATAATCAAGTCGAAACGATGTGGCAGACGTCTTGTTTTCGATCCCGTCGATCTTCGTCGAGCTATTGAAAAGGATCTGGAGAAGGGATTCATTCCTCTGATGGTAAGTTTTCATGACGACTGTTCTTTGCTAACATTGTGCAGGCGCACCTCTCAGGTTTGTTGATGACTAGTGTGGTCGGAACTCTGCAACACTAATCCACTCATATTACTCAAGTACAGAAATCAGGCTGACTACGATGAGTTTGTGTGTCGAGTCAACGATACTATAGTGAGGTGTTGAAAACCACCGACTGACTCCACTGGATTCATGGTCGATATTATTGGTTGAGCACTAAATGTGAAGAAGTACTTCACAGCTGATATCCACACTTCCCTGTTTTCTGAATCAACAGCCCACCTGAATGGTCTTGTCAAGAAACGCTGAATGGTAGGGCGGCTTCTGCTTTGTAATACTACACGATCACACACCACAATAGCAGTATCAAATCACAAGTAGTATGGTGAGATGAAGCCTACAATTGGTCTCCAGTCAATATTTAATGAAGACAAATGTATTGAATAGATCTTGGGTTGGAACAAAACACAGACATAGAAATCAGGTGACGTAGGATAGATACCCAGATCACTTGTATTCCTTACAAAACGACTTCCGGCTTGAATCCATACACACCATGCATACGGTGCAAATGGTTCATCCAATCAGTGGTGAATCAATCACTGGTGAATCTGTTTGACTCAGATAGCTAGTTGAGAGGGAATATGCTACTAAGCAACTCTGACTATAAATAAACAATATCTGAATTGTGTGTTCACTTTCGCATCGGTCGGTGCCATTACCACCCCCTGCCACTCACGTGTTCGTGAGCAGTTCGACAAGTTTGAGCGGAAATCTGGCATATCCACATGCTAATAAACAGTGCATCAGTCAGTGAGTGACCAACCAGGTTGCCATCAACGTCATGACTGCAGCATGCCTCATGACTTGTGTTGTCACTGTTTTCATTGACTCAACCACACGCCTGCTTGTTCAGCTGAAACTGCATTGCAATGGTGTGAATTTCCTAGTTCACTGAATACTGCATTCTTGATGGACTACAGATTTTCACGTGTTCATTTTGACAGTGTGTTGCAACGATGGGTACAACATCGACATGTGAATTCGAAGACCTACAGGGAATAGGACAAGTCTGTAAGTAATCCTCAACAATTTTTCTCTTTATTCCTCTCTCAATCACATATCTATCCTGTATTGTTCATCTCGTTTTTAATGACTACATCATCGAAGCGTGTGTGTTGACTGAGAGACATGCTGGTGTTGGTGTTGTTGTAGGTCTGATTGGTTGTTCCAATCACTGAATGAAATACCTATCAACCTTAAACAGTGAATAGTCGGCATAACATGTGGTGGACACATCAGCCTCCTACCGTATACAAACATGCAAACTGAAGTTGACATCATGTAACGCATAAACCTTCTGGATTCCTCTGAAAACACTTCACCCTTTTGTCCAACGTGTACGACAGACGAAGTTGTAGCAACAAGATATAGGACTGTGTATACAAGGAGTCTTCTTATCAAAGCTGAACTGCTTGGCAGTGCAATTCCTGAGATGCACGGAATTTAATGCTGTCGACTAGAATCCAGTAACTGTCGATATTTATCCACATCTGTATGCCAGCATGATGGTGGAGGTTGGTGACTGTCGTTAGAGGCATCGATTTGACCGGTTGACGCCGCATTACGTGATGCTGAATAGAATTGTTCTCCTTGGAACTCATTAGAATGGAGTCATCAATCACTTAATATTCACACCATCGAAGCATAGATATAGTTGCAAAGAAGTGCTGAAATGTATGAATTCCATTTCTCATAGTTTGTTCGAGATCACGGTGGATACCTTACCGTTAAGGGCTTGCTCAATTGTCTACTTCCCAGATTCCATCGACATGTATCAGTTTGCATCGGCCTAACAGATCTCTTGAGATATGGGTAACGCATACAGGGAAGCTGTTGAGGGTGTTGTGTGGTGACGCTTGTCCGGTGATCTGGGATTTCCGTTAACGCCAATCCAATGTAAATCAGTACTCAGTATTCAAGATACTATTCTTGCATGTCAAACACGCTGTTGTGGGAACATGCATTTTGTGGCTCACAGTTCAAAGGTTCGACTGTGCATAAAATTGCTTTTATCAATCATTGATGTAAGAATGTGCAAGCAGCACTGTTATCTTCTAATGAAATGCTACTTTCCTCACATTTTAACCAACACTAGGTAATGACTACGGCATTTGGTTTCATGTGGATGCAGCCTACGGTGGGATCGCACTACTCTGTCCTGAACTTCGCCATCTGAGCAGAGGGATCGAGGTGAGTTGTCAAAGCTTGCTAACTGTTGCATCGACTTCCTGTAGGGCGTTGATATTCCAAATGTGTTGTATGCATTGGTTGTCAGTGATGGTGGACAACTCGTGTCCCCATTCACTGGAGGTTGTGTGGATGATTGAGTGTAGGGGTAGACAAGTGCATAAATAGGTGTTCATGTGTAAGTCAGGTGGATGTCAGGTAGAGCAGTCAGTGTTTTACATGTGTATTCAGTGCTCACTCTGACTTCTTTGAATTTCAGCTAGCCGATTCTGTCAACATTAATGCGCATAAAATGATGATGGTGAATGTGGACTCCTCACCTCTGTGGCTCAGTGATCACCGAGTGCTGACTGAGGCGTTCGAAGCCAATCCGCTTTACTTGCATCATGCATATGGAGGAATGCCTGATTATCGCGTGAGTCTACACTGACTACATTTTGAGTTACTGGTGAACTATGATTAGCACTTTGTGTCCAACACTCCAAATTGCACAGTGATATCATGAGGTTCGAGACGACTATGAAGATGACAACAACACAGTTGTTTCCTATGACAGTGATCATCAATGATATGAAGAACGTCGTCTCGAAATGGACAAGGATGATGACATCAGATCTCTGGTACTGGGGAACAACCTGTGTCAGTTTCAGTTATGGAGGGGAAGTAAAAGCAGTGTGGCAGTTTATTCCATGTCCTTGACGAAGGATTTTAGCTTGACATAGTGTATAAGATGCTGAATATTTGGAGGTAGTGTTGTGGAAAATGCCATGCAAAATTGGTCGTAATTTCCATCACACATAGTACCTCAGTGAGATGTTCAATCATCGCAACTGTCTCCATCACCTAGTTGAATCTTATTTATGCTCATCGGAGAATATTTGCTGGTCCCATTAGTGATATAAGCGTCAAGTGTTCGTTTGTCATCATTCACAATCAAATATCCATTCTAACTTACACCTCAGTGTCAGTGGGTAGTCATGATGAAATAACGAAGCATGTCTCACAATTCGCTTGCCTTAGTCAAATGTATAATCACGGGAAGTGTTAGAGGGGAATTGTAAGTGTCACATCAGTATCGTGGGTGAGATCTTCGTGAGAATGCTCGTTTACCTGTGAATAGGGCTTCCAAATGTGCTCAGATGTGCTCATAAAACAATCATGACAGACTCTGATCTTCTGCATGAGACTGCACTAAATCCAGCACAACTTCTCACGTGATTCATGAGGAGGACAATGCGGAGCGAATATCTCTCGGAAATCAACTTCCACAACTCACTGATGTCGTCAAGTCCAGTGTGTGCATCTCATGGCGGATCAGCATCATGGTATGCATCACTTCCATACGATTGACTGCAAAACTACTCAATACCTGATCACTACAATTTTTGTGACAGTGGCACAGTGTAAATATTCATCTTCGCTTGGTTTCAGAAATGGAGTTTGTCACTGGCCAGAGGCTTCAGATCACTGAAACTGTGGTTCGTCCTACGTACGTATGGATTGAGTGGTTTACGCGAAATGACACGACATGTAAGTGACGCTTGAGTTGGTGAGATTTTCATTCTTCCTGTAAACATTTACTTGTACCAATGTGCGGCTTCGCTGACTCACACTGAAAACATGATGATGTGCCTCAGTGAGTTTGTAGACGTCCCTGTGATTCAACTGGTAGATCATGTCACTTGTATTACTTAGATCTCAAAAACTGTAGGGTATCGTCGCTCCACGCTCCATGTGAGACGGCACCTCGATCATTGTCTAGATGAAGCGACAATCTGATAGAGTATATGATGGAAAAATGCAGATCGTTGATGATCTCTACCTCATGGACTTGATTTTGTTGCTTTGTACGATTTTGTGAGGCCGGATAATTCCACTCACACCACTACACTTAGGAAGATAAATACTGTATGTATGCGTATGTGACTGAGTGTTCACGACGTAGAGGCATACTTTGATAACACCACACTTCTATGAATTTTGTACCAAAGTATGCCTCAGAAAGATGATGATGATGATGATAAGGAGATTGCAGTACACACATAATCGCGCTTCCAGTTTGCTCATGAATCTGAGTTGCATTGCCGTCTGACAGATTTCGTTGCACTCTTCTCGACATGAAAATCAACACTGGCTTCAACATGATCTATCTACTTCAGTAGACATGACATTGTGTGAATAGGTGTCTCAATGGTTGGCTTTGTGCTGACCATATTCAGTGGAAGCACAAAGCCTATTCCACTGATCAGAGTCAGTGCCAGATACGTGTGAAATGTGACAGTTTACTTCCACATTGAATAGCACTCCTGACTTGACAGCTTCAACTGCCACCCGATTTATGGCCGTTTTCTGTTTGCTTCACCTTCAGTCATCAGACTTGTTTTCGTGGAGTCAGACAGTGATGCATCAGGTTACTTGTCATTGTCATCATGGGTGTAGACGAGGTGAAGTTGACTAGTCATTTTTAGGCATGTGTAGTGAACTGGATTTCGTTTGACAGGCGGCAGTGAGATACTCACTCCTCAAGAACTGAATGCCTTCGGTAGGAATGAAGAGCCTCTTGAGAGACAGAGATGGGCTTGAATCCATAGCCAAACAGGTGTGGATGTGATGTGGAGATAACTTCTTCGTTGTATGCACTCAGTCTGGCTTTCCGTTGTTATTCGTCTGACATGTTTCGACATTCGATGTGGTCTGTGATTTCGGATCAGTTTCCGAGGGTGATAGTCTGTCTGAACCCTCAGCAGAGTGTTGTCATGATGTGCAGTTGAGTAATTGGTGGTTGTGATCGATCCACTGGGCTTGTTATCCACCCACATTCTTATCAAGCATAGGTCACTCCTGGTTAATCACTTTCACATGGTGTAACAGGGAATAATGAATGAAAGTCACATCCAGTTAGTAAGAGATTGTTGAAGTCAGTGTATTCTTCACTGGCATTTGAATAAATAAATTCAAGAGAGATATGCTTCACATTTCACTGATTCAGACTGAACAATCGAATGTCTATCCTTTCTGTTGATGCCAGTTGTTAACACCCAGTCAGTCGC